AACAACTAAATACACGGCAATTGAAATTATATAAATGTAGTGAATTTCAGTACTTCGAGCCCAAGCAGTGAAATTACTCGTTGACTGTGCTCTTCTTAAGACCCGAACCTTTTAAAATACACGATAATAAGAATATCGCTGTGTGTGTCTTGTACAAAGTCAAATGTACTTATACGCCATACAAGTTCGATTGAGCCTGTCCTCCTTTAAGGTAAATATGCGCTATAGGTGTAAATCTTTGAATAATTACTTATTGCATCGCGTAGCAGGTAAAAATACGTACGAAGTAAGATTCGCACGTAATAATCTTTTAAGATCATGAGGTTTATTGGTTATATTGGGTGATTTGTGTAATTACGCTAAGTTCTAAGAAGATAGTTTGGTTTGTGCAGAGTACAGAAAGAATCCACTTTTTGAGTGGAATCTTCACTAACGAGGCCCACGGAGGTGGGCTATAACGTATTCAGCGCACGCTTTCAATAAGAAGTATTTTAACTTGCTTTCTCCCTTCTCAAAACTCTCACCTCAGACAGACATTAAATGTGATGTATATGTTTTTATAGTACATAGTAAACTGGTATGGGTAAGATTTTATGGACATCTTCATTCTCGGTGGAAGAGGAAAGTTTCTTTATGCTTATTCGCATTTTTCATTTATTGATGATTTGTCTTCGGCCGTACCTATTCGCTGACGGCATTATCTAGCGTACCGATCTCGTCTCTCTTTTCATCTCATCTTCTTTTATCATAACATTTACAAACATCGCCAGGTAGATTCGACCAAGCCTTCTGCGAGCACGTGGTGGGGGGTCTTTGAAATTAAAACAAACTGCTCCCCGAAAATTTACGAGCACAAACACCACACAATGTTTACTTTTTTGCTTGAATAAGAGAGGTGCGAGCATACGAGCTGATTTCCTCACTTCAGTCTCGTCTTGCTGTCGGATCAAAGAAAGCTCGATCCGAGCGCACCTTAGTGATAAGTAACATCATCTCCAATGATCGCAATGCCTATTTTCGATACATCTCACAAGCAATCCTATGCCAGTTAATAATTGTTTAGAGACGCCTTGCTGTCGCCCGATAAAGGTGCCTTCCGTCGGAAATTCTTGAGTCGCTGTGATGCGTACGCTTGCGTTTAGCAGTCGGCAATTGATGGGGACATCAGTCAACGTCACTTTTGCTGCTCTTTGCAACCTTGTGTGCTTTATTCCGTTTCACGCACTTTCGCATCTTCTGACACGATGTCCGAACCAGCCCACCCGTACCCATCCAAGGAAATCGCTTAAAGCAGTCCTTTCGACGACAATTTGACGAAATACTAAAGGAGGCGCATCCGTAACCGTCATGAAGCGTATAGCCCAAAGAAGGATGAAGATGGACCTAGCTGATGCTTGAAAGGAAAACGAAAAAGGAAAGTAAAAATCTTCAGGGTTCATTCTTGCGTAGGTTGAGATCAATCCGTGACCCGAGTCATAGGCTCTGTACAGTTTCTCACCCGTTGCAATGTCCAGGACTTACCCTTTCCGGTTTACCATAATCAGTTAAAAATCTTCTTAAATCAGAGTGATTTAAAAAAATTACTAAATATATCCCAAACTTCACGTTCACACCAATTTGATCGAGCAGCGCAGCGTTATTATCGCCAGGGCGTTCTTGTCGTCGATTTCGTCGTCAGAACGCGCGCTGCTGTCGCCACAATCTGGCGGACGCAAGCGTCTGCGACGAGAAGAGGGGAGGAGAACGTGCGTCGTGAGCAGAAGAAGTAGAGTTCAAGTCCGTTAAATGGAGCGGGCAACCGCTTCGCGATCCAGCATCCACCCCTCAAACTTACGATACTCTAATTGGTTAGTATAAAGTAATTGAATGACCATTTGTGGTTGGATGCAGTATGAGTAGGCAGAGGTTTTCGACCGGTAACGACAAATTGAGCTCCAGTTCTGCCGAGAGTTCGCAACTCTAGGACAAAGTCCGACAATTCTCTCTTTCCCTGCCTAGCGGCTATGAATCGAGAGCGAACACGATACGCTTAATTTGTCATACAATCTTGCACACTCGGATTCTCTTCTCACTTTTTGTATGAGCGATTGGAATCCTGGTCTGAACGCATTTTAATTGTGCATGCAGTTGACTTGAACTAGACAATTGTTGCAAATCACTCGCGATTTTTCTGCTTTTCGTCAGCTTAATTAGCTAGTTTCTCAATCCTTTCATTACTAAATTTCTTGAAAAACGTTTGCCATCTTATTCTCGGCTGTTTTTCGCTTTAACTCTTTTAAAGCATGAGCAATGCGATAGCTTACGTAATATTTATTTTGTGCGGCTTGCTAGCCTTGACCCTCTTGCGGAAAACACCCGCGTAATGTGTGTGGTACTGTAGTTAGTTAAATCTGAAATAATACAGTCTTAACGTAACAACACAACAACGGCTGAGTAAGTCGGCGTAATCGGGCCAGTGCGTCGTGATAAATCCCTTCGCAATTTGATCTTTTATGTACAGTGGTAAATTTCCCCCTTGCTGAGTATCCGCAACCATTTTTTTTATAGAAGCCTGCCTGAGCTCAGCAGCTTCCGTTCTCCATATGCTGTGGGACACATCAATAGATAGATGCCGGCGTTTTCACGCTTAACAGATCACCGAGCGCAATGTACGCTCGACTAGAACAATTGCAGTGGTCTTGGCTAAAAACCCGCCGACCCATCGCTCGACAAGACTTGAAACCGAACCGTCTCTTAGGCTACCGGCTCGTCGATTGACGAAACTCAAGAACGTTGTCGTCTGTTGGATCACCGGCTTGCCGCTTGACGAGACTCAAAACGGCGCCGTATGTTGGGATACCGGATCGCCGTGTGACAAGAAGATTTTGCTGGGAGCGAGTGTTACCCTACCCGGGACGACTTACATCTTGGCACTTCCAGTCGAAGCCTCTACAAGCTATGCCTCTCGGGGATCGACAGCAGGTGAAATCTAGCCCGCGCATGGACTTACCTCAAAAGTCTACATGTGTCTTGGACTTGGAAAATTCTGCTCAGTCTTTATTTATCTCTTTTCTGCTAAAGAGAGACTATTCGGTGGCTTGCATTCTACCCACTACTTCTACCATAACGTTACCTTGTGACTTAGACGGTCGACCTTCCAGCTGCTTCGCTAGAGTTAAGGTTCGGCGAGCCTTGACTCGACGAGAATCAACTCATTAAGTCAAGGCTCGTCGAGTCTCGACCCAGCGAGTCTTATCATAACGAGACTTAACTCGACGAGTATTAGCTCGACGGATTCCAGCTTAATATTTATCCAGTAGGAAATGTACATATCAAATAAGATCCCACACCACGACTGCTCCGGTCGTGATACGAACCTAACTGGCAAGTCTCTCGACCTGTTATATATGGTCACTCAGCGAATCATTATCCCGCCCAGCCGTTTTCTTTCTCGTATTCAATGTTACAGCACGTGTGTAAAGGGGCATACCGTTTTATAATATTGACACCAAACGGTGTCAATAGGGAGATTGCGTGACAATACTCTACCAATGTTATCCGAGATGGATAATCTTGAAGGTATATTATCCCCTTTTAGGATAATATTCATGCGCTGCTCAAAGATTGGTTGATATACCATATATCAACCGAGGTTACCACCAATCTTTGATAGACGCGCGCAATGAGTGGTGGGCATGTTGTCGTCATACGATGACGTAGTTTAATTTAGTTAGATATAGATTAAAGTTATATTGATAGCTTAACTATACTAAATGCAGCTCTCTTTTTGCCCTTTACTCAGCTTAGTTGTTGAGTAGATTAGCTTCCTCTGCACGTACTAGTGTACGTGCAGTTTCGTGGCACCCAAAGAAAGGGTGCCCCGTTAAACAATAACTACTTCACACGAGGTCAGCACGTAATCGCGGGATCATTCATCGTGCGACATGCTCGGCTATGGGAACATTAACCCTGCAAACGTTACATTCGGTGATCAGATGCCGGCAGGGGTGCGTCATCATCGACAACGGATGTAATGCAGTCGATTTCGCTTGGATACATCAGTTGGCATGAGTTGTCGAGAGTAAGTCTCAAATCTACCACCATCCGGATGAAAACGTTGCAAAACCCACATCTTTTATAGATCTAGTATCAATTCGTGAAGAATTTAATGTGCACCGCACTACTCTATGGTTGACTGAAAATAAAGGCTCCAGGTGCGAAGAGTAGAATTGTTATAGAATAAATACTATTTATTGCATTGAGATGTTAGACAAACAGCAGCGATCGATTCAGTCAAAGTTCATTGTAGCGTCCTGGTTCAGGGGACTACGACTCCAAGGAATCACGTGTCACTAGTTGCAATGGGGGACTGGTCACTGTTTATACTTCTGTACTAGTGCGCCGCACTGACAGCAGTGTAGATAGTGCCGTGCGTCACTTGACGTACATCGTTCGTGCAGAGGAAGGGTATCTAGTGAATGACGCGTTCAAAAGAAGTGAAAAGTAAAAATAAACCAAATGTAATAAAGTCCTAATTACATGTACCTATGGCTTAGCCCTAACTTGATTTTTTCTATCAACGAAAATGTATACTTAAGTCTTTCTCACCACTTATTGCGCGCGTCCATCGTTGATTCAACCGCTAGAGCTGGCTTATATGATGGCCCATATTAGCCAAACGTTGAGTGCTTCTAATTATCACCAATTATGGCAATATTCACGACCATTATCAACCTTTAAGAATATATACCAATTCACAAGTATCAAAGGCAAGTTACATGTAACAGGCTCACCCCGTTCCAACACTTCCGCTTAAACGATAGTCGCTCATTCACTATAAATCAAAAGTTAACACTGTTAGGTCACATCAGGAACAGGGAGTCTCTTGTCTTTTTTATCGGATCCAAACATTCTTGGATCTCCATCGCATGGCTGACAACTCCATGCGATGTGCAGTTGAAGCTGCTGATAAGGCAGCTGCGAGTGTTAAAGCAGCTGCTCTTGACGACACCTAGCTTCTCATGGTAGAAGATGCTTTGTCTGCTGCCGCCTCAACTCTTCCTGCAGCACCAGTTGCTGCAGAGGCACGTGGTGTGTCGCCACGTGCTAGTGCTGATAATATTTCCCAAGTGGATCTCATCTATTTGGGGGAGTCGGATGGCGGTTCCGACTCAAAGAAGACGCCTAGGTCGCCCGAGTCTAAAAGTGCGACCGAGTACGAGCCGACGAATAGGCCTTGAGCAGGTAGAAGACTCATGGTCACTACAAGAGTCTGTTTAGTTTAAAGGATGGGCATAATGACTCATCCCCTGCGCCTGCTACTTTAAACTCGATTCCTGACATATGTGGTGTTTCTGGACCTCCCGCCTCTACTTATTTCGAAGGACGATAGGGGGTCAAGATAGTGTGAGCCTGTATCACACCTATGTCCTCTTGCACCGCAGTTTTACTAGCTTCTTCAAGCGTCTTAAACTCAATGCGGAACAGGTGGTTTCTCACAGATATATCTGTAAGGCCCTGCAAGAATGTTGTGATTAGCACAAATTTACTTACAGAGTTTTGCTACCATGCAACATGCAAGGTAACGAACGTGCTGAGCACAAGCGTGAATGCACGCTTACCTTGTTTTATCTTCAGAAGCTCTAAAAGAGTCCTGAAATCTCTTTCATAGTCCTGAAATCAGCTTTTGGTGGCTCAAAATGTTTGGCTGAGCAGAGTTTTAAACCGCCAACGATCCAAACGCGTTTGTATCGTGCAATCAAAGATTCAGGGCCTAAGTTCTGATAAGCCGGACATATTCGATTTGGCAAATGCAACTTTGCATTTCCTCGTTGTCAATGTGACGAGACTTAGTGGCATTGTCCACTTCGAGGGACCATCTCAAGAGGGATTATTCCTCGAATCCCCGGTACTTGGAAACTTTAAGGTCTCACGTCAATAAATAAGCGTCGACGCTGCAGAAGCAGACTGAGACTGTTGCTGTCTCAGTCCCCGGTCTGATGGTGATCTTGTTGATGCAGCAGGGTCACTTCAGTTTGCGACGCATCAAGCTTTCCTTGCAACAACTTGGCGGTTAAGGAATGCTGCTGGTCCCTACACCTTAAGGATAGCAGAGACCACAGCTTCTTCCTTTACGGTCGAACCCATTCGTTCGAACGCACTTCATTGGACATCACTGAAGTGGGGGTAAGTTTACGGGTTCCGCGGAAGGCGTTGTCGCGTCCATCGTCCAACATGTTCATGTTGAACGGGTTTTGTGGTCCTTGGACGGACTACAAAGTGCTACAGGTGTAACAGGGCACCGGAGCAACACACTGGACAACCAGTGAGGAACTATTCTTAGAGACAGAAGCGTGAGTGGTGCCTCGCTACCTCTGTAAACTACGCAGAGGAAGGGAAAGCAACAAGGATAAACTGACTAGTTGTCGGTAAAGTAAAACTGTAATAAATAAATTGAAGTCCTAATCACTGACATATGTTTATTCCTAGCTTAATTATGTTTAACCACAAGAATTTATGCTAAAGTCTTGTTTACCACTCATCTGCGCGCGTCCATCGTTGGTTGGACAGCTAGAGCTGGCTGATTGGATGGTACATTTCAGCCAATTGGTGAGTGTTTTTAAATATAACCCCTTTTGATAAAATATTCACGAACATCATCGATCTTTAAGATAATATTCTAATTAACAAGTATCAAGGGCGTATTGCACGTAACAGGCTTACCCCGTTACAGACACGCCTTTGCAGACTACCAGGTCTGGGTCTGCTACCGGATCACTACCCATCAATTAAATCAATACTACCCGGACCGAGCACAAGAGTCGATCGTGCACACGTCATGCGGCTTGTCGAGGACAGCATGAAGGATTATTCATATTATCTGTGACTGCGAGGGAGCAGCGAAGTGTTGGACGTACATTGTGACTCATTCGACCCGGATGGTTGTCCAGCCCGCGAACAGCACCAGACCTACCTCTGGATTTCAGAGCGAAGATCGACCGCCTATTTCCGGACACGGCGGGGGAGATCGGCAGGGCTTGGGTACGGATCTGGTGGATAACGTGCTTCATCTGCTTCGCCACCCTATGGGCACAGCCGAACTGCTAAGTGCACAATCACGAGGAAACAACCGCCGACCGAGCGAAATCCGAGCTACGACAAACATTGCTTCGACAGCTACAAGCTGTAGCGGTCAGGGAGCACCAGTTCAACTGCGACGGGGACGACTGCGTTTTTCCAGCTAGCAACAGAACTCTTTTCCACCTCGGTTTCTCCACGACCGTTTACTTAATATGACCCTAGACGGCAGCTACACCATCGGTAGGGGTGCTCGTGCGGCTAGAGACTTTTCAGTAATCTTGTAAACCGTAAAGGCAATGAGACAGTCTGTAACTTTTACCGTCTAGAGTTGTAAGGATCAGGCTGGTAGAGACTGGCTATGTACTAGACGGCAGTGATCGTCAGAGAACCCCGTTTCTACGTCGACCAGAGCTCGGGTGCTCAGAATCAATCTGCGAAATGTCCACCGCGTCGTGACAAAGCAAGTAGGTCTTGCCAATCATGGGATCGAGTGTTGCACAGGACACCGAGGCACAAACGATCGATAGGCCGTTCGTTCGGGAAGTGGCCTGGGCCGATAGTACCAAGCGGCTAGCAAAGACCCTAGGGATCCCGCTAGTTCCAGCCCGCACGATGTCGTTTACCTAGTACATCGTCGCTGGCAATGGCGTACCAAATATTGTCTCAATTCACTCGCTTTGAAGCGAGCAAGGTCACTTCTCTATTGTAACTGAATTTTACTGTTGCTTGGCATGCCGTCGGAAAACGACGAATTTACCAACGCCACATTTGACAATACGACGAAAACAACAGCGGGGACACAGAAGGCGCATAGTGAGCGAAAGCGGGACAGATGGCTGAATTTCGTGCGAGAAAGCATCTATCTATCTACGAGCTCTCGAAATGAACCTCAACGCTCGTCCCGCTCGAATGCTCGCACGAAATATCGTAGCGAGTGAGTTCGGTGAGAAAGCTGCACACCGGGGTGACTTGCACGACTCACGTCCATCGTTTCGGAGAGTTTCACTACCGAACGATAGAGTTTTTCTTCCAATCTAGTGTCGCACCTCGATCCGCCTTCTGCATCGAAAACTTTGCATCTCGTTACAGCAAGTCGTTTCAGCTTCTGCATAGAGTAGCAACGTCGCTGGTCATGTTGATCAGTCAAAAGACGAAGAAGAGCAACACCGTATCTGCACGTGCGACACCGCGGTCGGGAAGCGGAAAGAGCCGGTTTCACATGACGTATTCCACCTTTCTGATTGGTTCAGTCCACACCTCGTTCGACGTGGTTCATTGGTTGAGACCGCCGTAAACCTCAACCACGCGTGTCTCATTCCGTCAAGTCAGCCAAGTCTCTGTTGCCGTCAGAGGTAGTAGTAGTAAGTAGTCAGTTCCGGTTTTGAAACGTAACCGGGAGCAGGCCACGCACTTGCACGCTCACTTGCACTCTCGCTCTCTGCACCGAATCAAGTACCCAATCCACGAACGTGCGTACGTGCGCTTGACTTTGACTTGACTTGACTCGTTTCTTTTGCTCGTAGTGGAAAGCGTGCACGTGAGATTCTAACTCCTCTTGCTGGCTGTTGTTGTCGCTCCTCTACAGACAGTCACTCTGCCGCATCAACGAGCGACGTGACGACGTTTGCAGTGCTCTTTGTTCCGCCGCTCCAAGCTTGACGCAGTCGTGATGGCGCCTAATATGAACCTCAGTGGAGACGTGTGTGTCGAGGACTGTCATCGCAGTCTCTCTCTTGACAGCTACGACGTCGTGAGTCCGCGCAGTGGCAAGCACGACCCGGAGGACGTGGTCATTTTCTTTGATTGGGGTGAGAGCTCTCGTCAGTTTAGCGTGTGCTATCGCAACATTGGTTATCTCACGCTCGTTTTGGTGTACGTGCATCTGGTTGTACCCATTTTGTAGATGATACGCTTATGGCGTCGTCAGCGATTGCCAAGCACGGCCTTTGCCCCAAGTACATTAACGAGGAGCCGGAGATCCCGGACGACGTGCAAGCAGAGCTGCAAGAGCTTGAAGAGGCCGTCGTGCAGCTCCTTGAGACCGCGCTGTCGTATGGACGCGTGGTCATTGTGACGGCTGCGGAGGCTGGATGGGTGGAGTTATCCGCGTCGCTGTTTATGCCACGCCTTGTCCCGTTCTTCAACACGCGGATCAAAGTCGTCTCAGCGCGCTCGACGTACGAGTACATGTATCCAGACTGTCCGCGTCGGTGGAAAGTGGAGGCGTTTAACAATGAAGTGTTTCCGGTGTGGGAGTCATACAACGAGGAAGACTCGGCAGGAATCCCGCGGCATGTCATCTCGCTCGGCGATGGCCCGACAGAGCGCGAGGCGTTGATCAACGTCAAGATGCAGGCCATGGATGCATGTCATGGCAAGTCGATGAAATTCATTGCGTACCCGAAGATTAGCGATCTGCAGCTGGAGGTGGAGCTCATCCATGCCAACATGGAACATTTGTGCACTCACGAAGGCGACCTCGACTTGCAAATTACATGGGAGATGCTCAATAGCAGCGCATGATTATACTTCGAGAGTGGAATGGACGGAATAGCAGCACTCGTTTCGCGTTAGATGGAGGTGATCGTGCTTGGACTCTGGATGCTGCTTGGAAGCTGTAGGGCAACTGTAAAATTCATTGACGGGCGCCCGTGTCCTTTTCTGAAGAAGGCTCAATCTTGACGAGTGAGGAAATTATGATTGCCGACACGAGCAGTCGGTGAAGAGGAGAGTTTGCGAGTGATGCCCAAGATGGTCATTATCGCAAGTTGTCCTGCTAGCTGGAGATACCCAATGCCGTACGGCCACTTCCTGCCATTACTATCACGATTACGCACGTGTGTACTGTAGAATAACTGATCATAAACAACATACAGTGAGTGGACTTTGCCTGGAATCCAGTGCTCACACCGACTCTCTTTGGCGCAGCTGCAGGACGTCAGTGTAAGGACCTGCGGCAGTTCGATGAAACAGCTTCTAGCTCACGCACTCGCTAGTCCATCAAACATACTCGAGGCCTCAATGACGTGACCGTTGTCGTGCAAGTGATGAGATGGCATTCGCACCTCATGCAACTCGTCCGTCTCTGATGCTCGATGAAAGCCTGAGCGACAACCTTCTGTTGTGGGAACCTGGCTCTATATGACATCAGCCCTAACCGAGCGTCTGCAGTCGCACTGCTTCAAGCCTTTACACTCTCGCTGCCTTCAAACTCCACGTTCAGGACCTTGGAACCGCAGGGATCGACAGCAGACAGCACGCCATCCTCCCTACAGTCAACCTGGAAGCAACGACACGCAGACGCAATGGAAACTTGCAACAGCAAAAGAGACAACCAAGTGCACGCACGCGCCTTCCAACTCGGCAATGTACTTGACTGGGTAATTAGGTGCTGCATCAAGCAATGAGACACGTGGCACAGCGAGCGAGTAAGGGAGCACGTCACCGCCACCTGTCAGTCCATTTAGCTGCTCGCAACGGCAGCCACCATGGCCGCGTGGGTGTCGACTCCAATCTGCGCGTTCAGCTTGTCCTCCGATCCCTCGGCAGCCAACGCCAACTGCGCCTGGTACGTTGCCAGTCCAGCTTGCGCCGCCTCCGGGTCAATGTCTTCCACCTTGACCAGCTCCACGCACGCAATGTCCGTGACCGAGTTGGCGTGCGTCAAGGCAAAGCCGCCAGCCGTAAAGAAGCTGTGCACGTCCTTCTCCCGCTCCACGTGCACCTTGATGACGCCAGGCTTCAGTTGCGCCAGCACGGGCGTGTGGCCAGCCGTCACGCCGTACTCGCCAATCACGCCTGGAATCTGCACGAGGTCTACCTCGGCGTCCTTGTAGAAAGCCTGGTGGGGCGTGGTCAGGTTCAGCGTCACCTTGGTGGCAGAAGCAGCGGCTTGGTCCGCAGCAGCAGCAGCAGCGGAGAGACGTGACGACGTGTGCAGGGCGCGGGCAGCGAGGCGGCTCGTGGTCGACAGCATCATCTTCCGGGACTCTTTGATGATTACGTACGTGGGTTATGATGTAGATGGAGAAGAGGGGGCGGTCAAGGGCGGGCGAGGATTGATTGGTGGAGCGACGAGTATTTACGGCCTCGTTCGTAAAAAGATGATACCCCCCCTCCTTCTGCAGAGCAATACGTGAGGTTTTACACCCTCTGTCTTGTCATATTGATTCCATGTCAGAATACATACATTGGTCCCGTTACCAAATACAAGTGGTTGAAAGTACCCCTTCGGTTTCGCCCAACTGCGCGGCGTCGAAAATGAAGCTGTCTACATGTCCACACTACGTTCTACCGTGGGGTCCCAAGCAAGCGAGTCCCGATCCACTCACTCGCCACTATGTTAGCTGCACACGCTCGACGTCAACTGCTTCAACTGGCCACAAGACGACGCTCCATGTCGAAAGATGCAAAAAAAAAAGAGAGCCAGCGTCTGTCAGCCTCCAACCCAGTTCCGTAGCTCGCGACTCCTCGCCTTCATCTTCCACGAGAATTGCCTGCACTTTGGTGCTCATTTCTTCTTGTGATGCGAGCCGTTAGCAGAGTGGTCTTGCTGCTGGTCACGCAGCGCCTCTGCTTTACTGATCATGGACTCCCGGTCGAAGGTCGTTTTCGGGTGCTTGCTCGCGTAGTGCAGCTCGTACGACTTGATGTCTGGGGACGCGCTCTGAGCATCAGCCATCCATCACACAAAACACCCCCCGCAACAGCCAGTCAGCCAGTCAGTCTCACCCTATCGCCTCACCGTCTCCTCGCTCTCGTATCGCCACTGCAATAGCGCGAATGCTGCAACCAAAGACGTACCATGCAGATATCGCACGTAAAGTTGAGCTTGGCAACGGCACGCGTGGCAGCACCAGTCTTGCCGCCGCCTTTGTTCACCTGTTTCTGTCGACGCTCGAGGTCCGCCGCCGTGTGCTTTTTAAACTTGGCCTTGCCGCCCATGCTGCTCCACGAACTGCGTTCCTCACGAACTCCGCTGGTCTCTCTCGATTCGCTCGTCCTTGAGCAATGGGCGAGGCCCACGCCACCGGTCCTACGAATTGACACACGCCCGAAGCGCTCACGGAAACGGAGCTCGGCACGCAGGACCGGTCCGAACCGTCCACCGAACCGTCCACCGAGCGACCCACCCGACCGTCCTCGCTCTGTTTTTTAAAAAAAGCAAAACCCACATTAAACCGCTTTTTTCGTCGTCGACGTTCCCGCCAGAACCATGGTCAAGGTCGTCCCTGGCAGCCAGGGCTCGACGCCCTTGAACGTCCTCGAGTTCCAAGAGTTCGCCCGCGAGTACCTGCCCAAGACCGCGTACGACTACTACGCGTCCGGCGCCGACGACATGGTGACGCTCCGCGAGAACCGGCGCGCGTTCCAGCGCCTCGTCCTCCTGCCGCGCGTGCTCCGGGACATGTCCCACTTGAACCTCCGGACCAGCATCTTGGGCCACGAGATCCGCTCGCCTGTGTGCGTCGCGCCCTCGGCGATGCACTGTATGGCGCATCCAGAGGGTGAGCGTGCGAGCTCCAGAGCAGCAGCTAAGGCCGAGACGTGTTACGTCTTAAGTACGCTCTCCACCACCAGTCTCGAAGACGTGGCCGAGGCGCAAGATGGAGCCAAGTCGGATGCGCTCCGGTGGTTCCAGCTCTATGTGTTTAAAGACCGGGAGCTCACAAAGAGACTCGTGGAGCGCGCAGAAACCGCAGGGTTTAGAGCTATCGTACTTACGGTGGACACCCCGCGGCTCGGCCATCGGGAGCCGGACGTGCGCAACAACTTCCAGCTCCCTCCTCATTTGACAATGGCTAATTTTGCTCAAGTGGGAGGGACGTATGAACACGGGGTTCAATGCAGCCATGACTCGGGTCTTGCTCACTATGTGAGCGAGTTGTTCGACTTGACACTCAATTGGCACGACGTCAAGTGGCTCAAGAGCATTGCCACGCTGCCCGTGGTTGTTAAGGGGGTGCTGAGTCCAGAAGATGCTAACCTTGCAGTGGAGATGGGTTGTCAAGGCATCTTGGTGTCGAACCACGGCGCGCGACAGCTGGATGGCGTGGCAGCGACCATTGATGCACTGCCTGCTATTGTTCAAGCTGTGGACGGACGCGCTGAAGTGTATATGGATGGTGGGATTCGTCGCGGGACGGACGTCTTCAAAGCTCTTGCGCTCGGAGCTCGTGCTGTTTTCCTTGGTCGACCCGTGCTCTTTGGGCTGGCACACAGCGTACGTGAAAAACAAGCGTCGGACTTTGTACCATTGCTTGTATGTGCATGTGTTGTCAAGCTGATGTGCGTGGCTTGTGTCTACTGCTCGTTGACAGGGTGAAGCTGGGGTCTCGAGTGTTCTACGTATCCTGAACGAAGAACTGAAGCATGTCATGCTCTTTTCTGGAACGGCGTCGCTGGCTGATATCGGGTGCGTGTTTGTGCTTCACTTCGCTTTAGTATCGACTTTGGCACTTATCGCATGGCATTGGCAGGCCAGCATACGTTCGTCGTGGCCTAACACCACTCCCCTCGTCTCTATAATGGCGACGTGCCATCAAAGCTTAAAGCATGAAATGAAGGTGATGGAGGTACAAGGTGTTGAAAGGGGGATGCGCTGCTTGCAATGATTATCGACGCCTGGAAGCAAAGGCAGGCAGATGGCGCAAAGTGGTAGTCGTCACCTCACCCTGTTGCCGGGTCATAGTGTCGACTTCCTCCAGTTTATTTTCCGAATTGGGAATGTCTTTGCAACACACGAGTCATTTCGTGATACTCTTGAGCTCAGCCAGTGGTCATCCTAGTCATCCACGTGGTCAACCGAGTGATGTCGATAGTGTCCGGAGGACTTGTTCACTTCGTGATGACAACAGTCAAAGAGACGCATCGTTCTCGATATCAAAAGGTCTTCATAATGCACAAAAACAAGAGATATCGTATTCAGTGTCAAGACATCCTTACAATTCTTGCTCTTCCAGTCAGGGGCTGTTTTCCTTACAAGACTCGCCTTACTGCGTCGGTGAAGTCGACTGCGACTCTGTCGACTCAATCTGTGCAGGAGGACTGTCTTCTTCTTGTTTTCCTTCTGAAGCTGTCGTCGTAGGCAAAACGGTGGTAGTCGTGATGGTCGTCGCCACGGTGGTAGTCTTCATCGTCTGGTCTTCACCTGTCTTCGCAACTTTCTGCGCAGGCGCACTATCCTCGGCCATGCCGCTGCTCAGCGGTCTCTTCGTCAAAGCACTTTCAACTGCATCGGTACTGCCTGGAGGCGCATCGATCGCGGAAGCACCCGCAGTACCATCCGCAAAACGCGCAAGGCGCTGACTGCGGCGCAACGATTCTGCCGGTGCACTCTCTCCAGCGAGCGATAGGTACGGGAGCGGCGAAGCACCTGGAGACGGGGGAGATGGAACAGGCAGCGAGATACCCGGCTTGCCAAACACGAGCCCACTTGGTCCTCCAGAGCCGAACGCACCAAAGCTCGTACCAGCACCGAGATTGAACTGGCCACTACTCTCTGACGATAACGTCTCACTTCGTGAAACAGGTTTGGCTTCTTCTGCATCAGGAGGCGCGGATACCTTTGTGGGGATCACGCGAGCGACGCCTTCTACCTGCTTCTTAATGGATCGCAACGCAAACTGCCGAAGCGTCTCCTCGGCCGTCATTCCGTCAGCTTTCTCAGTGGTTTTCTCAGTCGACTCTTTTGGCTGTGTTCCCGTCACCGATGCCAGCACCGTCGGCACGAGCGCAATAGCAGGAGTCGCCTGAACGGGAGCTGGGAGAGTGGGTACCGGTGTGGGTGCGTTCGCAGGAGGCACTGTGGTAGTCATTGCATCGTTCGTAGTAGCGGTCACCATCGTGACTATTGCACCCGCTGAGGAAACCGGAGCAGGCGACGGTGCAGCAGGCGTAGCTAAAGTAGCTACATCAGTAGTAGACCCAGCCACAGTATTGTCTGCTTCAGAGGTTACAGCACCTTGCTGCTGCACCGGCGGTTCATTCTCCACAGCCGGTGTCGGAGACAGAAATAGCGGACTGGGACTTGATGCTGGTCTTGCTGGCGAAGCGACTGTCGTCGTTGTCGACGTCATCGCCATCGTAATGGGAAGAGGCACTTGAGGAGGAGAAGCAGGGGGCGAAGGGATGGGCGTTTTCTCAGGCGCCACGACGAGCTGTGAAGCAGTAGCTGCATGGTCCTTCAAATCGCTGTTTTCCTTCTTCAGATTTTTCAGACCCGACATGAGTCGCGCGTTGAAATCCTTTAACTGTGAACTCTTCTTCGTTTCCAGCTCCAATTGGGCCTTCAGCGTCTGGCGCTCCTTTTCCCATGACGTATTCGCACCACTAGCTGCTGCAGCACTCTCCTGTTTTGCTGCCTCGCAAGCTGACAGCTTTGTTTCCAGTGCCGCCTTTTCAGTCGTCACAGTGCTAAGTTGCGCTTGGACAGAGGTAAGCTTGGCCTCTACCGTAGAAATGGTACTTGTGCGATCGTCTAATTCCCTGTTCTTTTCCGCAAGTTGCTTGGTCAGCATCTCGGCTTTGTTCTTCCAGTTCTTCGCAAACCCCTTGATTCGTTCGTACTGCTTCGTCCAGTTCTCAACCTTCTTTTTCTCTTCTTCCAGCTCCTTGCCTCCACAAGAACGCAGAGTCTCAAGCTCGGCCTTTAGGATAGTTTGCTCGGCCTTCAACTCGGCAAGTTCCTTCGTCAAAGCTTCCTTTTCAGCAACTACCTTATCGTGCTCAGCTGGATCAACCTGCTGATACTTCTCAACCAGCTGATCGACACGCTGCTTCCAGCGCTTATTGGCATCATTAAGTGTTTCAACCTCCTGCTTCAGCGACGCCACTTGCATTTTCAAAGCTGTCTCAGCATTCTGCAGGGGCACTAGCTTGGCCTCGAGGCTGCGCACCTTCGCCGCCTCTTCTCTATACTTTGCCAGACTCTTCTGGTGCTCATCACGCAGCGTCGCATTGCTCTCACGCAGCAGACTCAACTGTTCTAGCTGGGCAACACGCTTCTGGTCATCAGAAGAAGCCACTGTTGTCTGCTTGTCAGCTGCTGTTGCCGAATCAGCCAGTGCTTTTATCTCGCCACGAAGACGTTCGTTCGTAGACTCCAAGCTAAATATTTGGGTGCGGCCACGCTGTACTTCTTGTTGAGATAACTCGAGCTTCGATTCAGTGATCTCACTTTCCCGTCGCAAGTATGCAACCACGCTCCGGAGATCATCAATTTCTTTTTCGTGCGTGCTCGGTTCAACAGCCCCTTCGCCAGCCTCTTGGTTTGATGCTGACACTGGTGCGTTTATCATCTTCAGCATGTCCTGCTCATGCGCTCGACGCACTTGAGCGGCTGCACGCTCCAGTTGAGAGTGTAGTAACTTGTTCTGCTCTGCGACCGCATTCTTGGCCTCAACCGCTTCATCAACACGCTTTTGAAGTCTCTCCAACTGAATTTGTGTCTCCCTTTCCACTATCTCTACCTTCACATTCAGCGCTTCAATTTCAGCCTCACGTTCCCGAACAGTCTTTCGAACTTGCTCCATTTCTCGACGAGCCGTCGATGACTTCGATACTTCAGCTGCGTGAAGCTGCAATTCACGCTCATAGTTTTCCTGCGTCGTCTCCAATTCACGCTTCATCTTTGTCATTTCTTCACGTGCGCTGTTCATCTGTTGCGTGGCACTGTCGACTCGAAGCTGTAGCATTTCTTGCGTCTCTGTGGCTTCAACCATCGACTGTTTGTGCGCTTTCTCGGTCCGATCGATACCTTCCCGCAAGCTGTTGTTCTCTATAATATGCTCTTTCAGTTCCGCTCGTGCCTTTACCAGATCCCCTTTCAATTGGTCACGGGATTTCTCAAGCTCCTGCATCTTCTCGGCTTCGCTTTGTTTCCACTTTTCACTTGCGCTTGACAACTCCGCCAGACTCTTTTCGCTCGCTTCAGCCAAAGCCCTGTACTTTGTCACGCTTTCGGTGAGCGTCTTTCGTGACACAAGCGACGCTTGCACTTCGCGCTGAGCGTCACGGAGTTGGACCTCCAACGCTGCAACACGTTCAGCAGCTGCGACACTTGCTCCTTTCTGAAGCTGCTCACGCAAATGTGCGGCCTCTTTTTCAAGCAAAGCGGACCTATCGTCCAAAGCTTTTTTCTGCTCTTCAAGCCGCGCAAGCTGCTCCTTCAATCGACTGTGAACTTCCTTGAGTTTTGCTAGTTCACCCACTGCTGCTTGCTTTTCCCTCTCAGCAGCCAAGACTTGCGCTCCAAAAGTAGCCTCTTTCGCATCCAGCTTTTCGTACGCATCGTGTAGTTTCGTCTCAAGTGTCGTCACTTTCTTCGACAAAGTCTCCACTTCACGGCGGTCACGCTCCTCACGCCCGCTTTCCATGCGACGCGTCGACTCCATAAGTTTGAGCAAATTCGTATTGTCAAGGCGCACCGTGACCAGCTCCTGCTGGATTTTCTCCTCATTCTTGCGCAGAAACTCACCCTCACGGACAGCCGCGTCTTTTTCGACAGTGAGACTCTGTACACGCAATGCTGCAGTTTCCAGCTTCGACTCCGTATTTGTGAGCATGTGCTGATGCTGCAACATCAGGGAGCTCAGCTGGTCTGTCTTCGACCGCAAACGTGCGAGCTCGTTCTCCGCGTTAGCGCATCGTTCCTCTGACGCTTCGTAGCGCTCTTTGTTGCACGCAGCTTCCACCTGCGCTTGCATCTGTGCCAACCGCGATGCCGAGCTTTTGGCCCGTTCCTGATCAAGAGCTTCCTGTAGCAATCTCAGATTGGCCTGCTTCTCCATTTTGTAATCTTCAAACTCCATCTGCACCTCACGAATTTTTTCGCTTTCGAACATTTCCAATGGACCACGAGGAGTGCCCGCTGGTATGGATGTTTCTCGAGTATCAACGCTGCTAGCGCTAGTGCCACCTTCCACGAATTTAGTGTCGGACTGGGCCAGCAGCACACGGTACATATCACGCTGCTTCACAATGGCTGCGATCATCTCGCGCTCCTGCTCCCGCTCGCTACGCAGTTCCTGAATCTCTTTGCAAGCCATCGACAACCGCTTCTTAATCGCACTAGATGCACCGATTTGGTCAACGTTATCATCAAAGTCACTAGCAACGATTACATGTGCAGTCGAGTCCGTTGACTCGGTACCACCATTACTTGTCGCGGATTTGTTCATCTCAGTGAGCTCGCGAACGACCGTCAAGAGCTGCTGATTCCGCACTTGCAGCTCTTCTACGTCTTTGAACACCACTAGATTCTCGGACCCAACATCGCCGGATTCAAGATTGTTGGGTCGTTTATACGAATCCTGGGAGCGGAAAAGCAAGTGCTGAACTTGACGTGACAGGTCATCAACATTCTGACCGAGCGACTCGCACTTCTTTTCAAGCGCGGTTTTCTCCTCTCTCGCATGCTGCTCATTAGCTTTACTCTTTGCCAACTCTTGCGTGCACTGCTCCAACCGCTCACTCAGTTGTGTGTGGCTAGCGACAATGCGCTCGTGATCCAGCCGCAAACCAACAAGAATGGGTGCTTTCTCCTGTATCTCCTTGACGATGCGATCCATGTACAGCTGTACTTTGTCCTTTTCTTTGCGCTCCGCTTGAAGTGTCTCTTCCAGCTCGACGATGTGATCGTACATTTGCATAGGTGTCAATCCATGCGCGGCCAAGTGAGCTTCGCCCGCAGATGAAGACAGCCCGGCCACAGCACTGGCTGTCTGCAGAGAGAAGATCTTCTTCTTTTCCATCTCTTGGACCTTTTCTTCAGCATGTTGCAGGTCGTCCTGAAGTGCTTGAATACGAGCCTCAGAAGCTCTAGCCTGCTCTCGAAACAAGTGCTCGACCTGCTCCTTCGCCCGCTCTGTCTCACGTGTCAGTCTTTGCTCCGCGTCAGACAGCGACTTGCGCAGTGACTCGCACACTGTCTGCAGCTCTGCAACACGAGCAGAAGACTCCGCTGCGGACTCCTGGTACAACGAAGCCAGTCGACACTGCGCATTCAGCTCGTTTTGCAGCACCTCCTCGTCGTGCACCTTCGAGGCCTGCAGCTCTTTCATTGCCTCTGTGCTCTTGATCAACGCGCCTTCTATCTTCTGGTTCGCCAAACGTGCACTCTCCAGCTGTCGCTTCACTGACGTGAGCTCTTCTGTGCTACGAATCTTGAGCTCCTCCAGGTCGTGTGTGCACTTTGTCAGCTCATGTCGCAGCTCCTGCACCGTCCGAGTCTTCTCGCTCAGCTGCGTCTCGAGCCACTGCGAGTGCTGCTGCGTAGCTTCCGTCTCTTTTTTAGCCCTCGTCAGAGCATGAGTCAGTGGTGCGACCTGTGCTTCCTGCTTGGCCGCACGCTCCAGCGCCTGCATCTCCTGGCGCTGGGCATCGACCAGCACTTTGTTTTGCTCTCTAACTGTCGTCTGCAGCTCCTCGACCTCCGACAGTCGACGCTCGGCCAAAGACGTGGCCATCTGAAGCTTGAACGTCAGTGCGTCCTTTTCCGCCGTCACCTGCAGCAGCTGTTGCGTCGCTTCTCGCGCCACTTTTTCATGTTCCTCGGCAAGTGTAGCCACTTGCTCTGCTTTTTCCACTACAGTTGTAGAGCACCAGTCACAAATTAGTATTGCACAGCGACGTCGAGGGATAGCGCACAGTCAGTCAGTCAGTCAGTACAGACGTACAAGCTGCTTGCTTGTCTGCTTCCAGCGTCTGACAGTTGCGCTCGACAAGGGCCAAGTCGCTCTTGACGTTCAGATACTTGCTCTCGAGGTCATGCAGCAATTGTTCTGTTTAAACGTTTAAACGTTAAAACATTAGTTTTTACTACAATACCGAGTAAAACATCGAGCTGCACGGCGCAAGGCTACCGCTACGCCACACGTGGCGATGCGCACAGTGCCATGACGTGCCGAATTGACACATGAACAAGAGGGGTAGGATGAGAGACGTAGACGCACCCTGGTTAATGTGCGAGGCGGCTAGCGCGGCTGCGTCGCCCCCCGACGCCATCGATCGATTTCGGTAGCGCCTCAAAACTTCGGAACTATGATACCGCATATAATGCGGATCTTTTTGCTGGTGCAGATAAACTTTACGAGTCGAAATATTTGAATTCGTAGCAAAAGATGTCTAGGACTTCTTTTACAAAAGAAGGTGAGGTGAGGTGGATGGACGCGCTTTTGCGATGGCTGTTGTGTATCATTATCGCACTGCGCTGATGTTCTAGAGTATTATCTCGACCAAACATGGATGGCTTGACAACACCTCACGCGGGTGTGTACCGTAGCAGCTAGCTGAGGATTTCAGGACACGTACGATCAAACGACGGATGTCCACTTACATGCTGATGTGAACTGAAATTACAAGCGCACTTGATGTGCACATGGCATGTAACGGGGCACCCTGAAGCTTGTACTGGTGACAGTACAAGCTACTTATTCTGATGACAGAATAAGGCGGTGCCTCGTAACCTCACGTACACTCGTACGTGCAGAGGAAGACGGTAAGAAGAAGCGAGTACTTGGTTAGAGTAAAAAGTAGAACTGTATTTATAATAGTTAATGTCTGCAATAAATCACTATTTATCTTCATCTAACTATGTCTAAATACAAATGTGTAAATCAGTTATCTGCTCACCACTCATTGCGTGCGTCTGTCGTGGCGCGTCTTCGTTGGTTGATATAATGGCCTATATCAACCAATTAGGAACTACTCGTAAGTGCTACAGAATATTTGTCCTTATGACAATATTCTGAGAATATAACTCTTATAGTTATATTCTATTAACAATTTCTTATAAATTGTTATGTAACGATTCACCCCGTTTCATCACCCCCCCCTTAACCAACAGTCACTTTAGTGACTGATTGACTAAATGGATACTCGTCCCAAATCATTTGGGACAGGGTTTGCACTTGTTGGTCCGCGTCCACTTTCCAACATTTCATCGCATGGTAAACAAGCCCATGCGATGCGCGAGCAAGGCCGCCGAGAGCGCGTCTGAACGTCTCTGTGCGTACGCCGAAGCAGAAACAACAGCAACTGATGTCTCATCGGTTGCTGAAGCGACCCAGCCTGTGTCACTTGGTGATGCAGGCGCTGGTCATGAAGACACTCGTGTCTTCACAGAGTACGAGCTCGGTGTCTCGTACTCTCCTGATACGGATGACGGATCCGTATCGACGGCGATTGAATCTAAGCCGCCTGCCAAGCGTGGCATGGACGATGCTTTGCGTCGCAGCATCTTTGGTTCATCTGATGAATCAGATGAACCATCGCCGAAGCGAAGGCGCTCGAGGTCGCGAGACTCGGGCGCTAATAGTGGTGTCGGTTCTCCTATGGACACCACTTCACAGCGAGGTGCCAGTACTTCTGTCGGCACGTCGCAGGAAGAGCGGGACCGCAATGTTTTGCGTCTCGCTCCAGAAAAGAAGGCATGGATGCCTCCAAAATCTGTCATGGATCACTTTTCGGCGACGACGAGTGATCGTTATCGAACACGATTGTTCGATTCGTCAAGGATCCATCACCTTGACCCCAGCGCGAAAAACTATCGCGCTGAACATGAATTCTTCATCGATGCTTTCTTCAGACATCGATGGTACAGTGGGAATCACAAACGTGATGGTCCCTCACTACTTCAGGCGTGGAACGCCTACATCCATAACCTCGAGGATGTAGGTCGTGACGCTTGGAACGACAAACTTATCAAAGCTCGTGATAAGTTTGAAAAGCGAACCCCGACAGGTGCACGCTACAAGCTGCATCGTCTGTCAAGGGAGAAAGGATTACCCTGCCTCTCTTGGGGAGACTCGTGCCCATGTTGTGTGAACAACTCTGCACGAGCACCTAAGGAGGCTTACCTCCTTACTAGCCCGTGGTGGCGCGTACGTATCTCTACTGAGATGTACGAAGGGATTGACAACCTGAAATCCCTTTACGACCGTGCCGGGAAGACTTTCTCCGGCGGTCCTTCTGCGGCACAGGATGTGCCGCGTCGTACTGCTCAACCAGACCCAGTACGTCAACCATCAGTTGGGAGCGGGGCTCCCAAGTATTCCAGGACGGGGGATAGCCGCGCCACCGGACGAGATAACTCGTCCGACGTCCGTTCACGTCGCGGTGGTTCAACAGCTGCTCAACTAGATAGCGCTGTCCACCGCGAGAGTCCTCTAATGGAGGTGGAGGAGGAGGAAAGACGCTCTCCACACGATCATGTGGATCGGTGTGTTCCCGAGAGCTTCTTTGATCGCGTAACGCAAGGGTTACGCGACGATCTCGAGCATGAGCGGAATAGGCGTCTCCAAATGGCGGACACTGCCTCGAAGCATCGAGCTGAGTTTGCCTTTGCTCAGCTTGAGAACGAGAGATCTCTGACATCTCTTCGTGACGAGCTAAGGGTAGCTCGTGGGATTGTTGATCGGTCTCGGGATGAGATAGTTGCTCTTCAGACCCTTGATGATGCCCACCATCGGGAGCACAAGGCTCTCTGCGAGATGCTTGAGCGCAAGGGCGTTCTTCATCGGAAGAAGCAGCGTACTGATGGTACGGCTTAAGCCGACCAACGTAAAACGTGGGATGCGTTCGCATCTTACGTGGTAATTCGATCGTGTATGCATTGCCTAGGCGGTGCAATACACGAAAAGGGCCGATGTACTTGGGTAGTAGTTTACTGCTACCCAAGTTAGTCACTACATGCTTTGGTAGATTAACCGTAGACAGTAGGACTAAGTCACCTTTATTAAATAAAAGAGTGTTTGCCCTTCCATTCTTGTCAGCGTTTTGCTTTTGCTTATCCACCGCTTCGGCGATGGAGTCTTGCACAAAACGGACTACCGTTTCACGAGCCAGTATGAACTCATCTGATGACTCGTTAGCTTCAGTGTGCTGTGAGCGCACTGCAGCAACATCAACCTTTTCTTCAGTGAGGGCTTCCGCACTCTCACTGGGATCATCTTCTTCAGTTAGGGCTTCCGCACTCTCACTGGCATCATCTTCTTCGATATCGATGTTATCGATATCGGCATCAAACGCAATGACTTCTTCGTCAGAGCGTGATGAGCGTGAGCCAATTCGGTTTTTGCTCGCGCGAGTCCCTCCCCCTTAAACCAGAGTTACACTCTAGTAAGGTGGGTACACGCGGATGGCGCAAGCCATTCACGTAAAACGGTGTATGTGTCGTGGACGCATGCACCGAGTTGTTGATGGCAAACTCTACCATTGGCAAAAACTCACTCCAACTCTTAAAGGAGTGTACGTATCCTCGAAGTATCTCTTCAAGGACACGATTGGCACGTTCCGTCTGACCATCTGACTCTGGATGATCAGATGTCGACATCTTCAAGCGCGTTCCGAGTGATTTGAACACGGAACGCCAGAAATCAGCAGTGAATCGTGGATATCTGTCTGTTACGAGTTCACGGGGCAACCCATGAAGTCGGAAGATGGTGTCGATAAAGACACAAGCACAGCCACTTGCCGTGATTGTCTCTGGTACAGCCACAAGGTGTACCATTTTGCTGAATCTGTCAACAAATACGAGAATACCCGTATTCCCGCGTGCGTCTTTGGGTAACCCGAAGACGAAATCCATTGAGATGGATTCCCAGCACTCAGCCGGAACCGGTAGAGGCTGTAAAGGTGCACGCAGTGAAGGACTTGACTTCACTCGTTGACAGACTTCGCATGCGCGAACATACTTACGCACAAACTGATACTGGCGGGGCCAGTAAAAGTCTCGACTTACCGTGGGATATGTTTTCTCTCGGCCACGATGTCCTCCTATAGGAGCATCGTGATACTCGAACATGATCCGCAAACGCAGATCAGTATCATCTGGAATGACAACACGTGGTGTGTCACCAGAAACGGCTGTATAGTACAGTAAACCGTTACGAGTAGTGTATCGATCTGATGCAGATCGATACGCAGACGACAATCGTTTCAACGATTCTCGAGATGGTTGGGAGAGATGTGTCAACAACTTCACTATCTCACCATCTTGGGCTTATGCCCGCCTCACATCATCGTACAACGTTGTAGATGGGACTGAGGACGTCATAACCGCAACAGTGACTGTCTCACTGTTGGGTTTCGCGACTGTTTCAAAGTCGGGACGACGTGAGAGTGCATCAGCGACGACATTAAGTCGTCCTGGTTTGTACTCGACCGTAAGGTTGTATTCCGCAAAGAATGACAACCACCGCGCCATTCGTTGTGAAAGGTGCGGGCTGTTCACTGCCGTGCGTAATGACGCATGGTCAGTGTAAACAATGAAGGGTCTATCTCCTAATAGATAGACTCTGAACTTCGCGAGTGCATACTTCATGGCAAGGAGTTCCTTGTCATGCACTGGATAGTTCCGCTCAGCTGGTTGCAGCTGACGCGACTGATAGCAGACGACGCGTTCAACGCCTTCAAGATCGTACTGCATTAATGCACAGCCGATTGCGAAATCGCTGGCATCACAGACCACATGAAATGGCCTGTCCTGATCGGCTATTGCTAGGACTGGGGATTGTATCAAGCTCTGCTTGATACCCTCAAAGGAGCGTTGACATTCAGCGTTCCATAACCACCTCTCGTTCTTTTTCAACAAACGAGAGAGGTGCACAGTCATCTCGGCGTAATTGCGTGAATACTTATGCAAATACGCCGCTAGCCCAAGGAATTTTCGAAGAACTTTGACATCAACCGGCACAGTCCAGTCGGTGATCGCCTTGATCTTTTCGGGATCAGGACGTACACCGTTCTTACCAACGATGCACCCAAGAAGTGGTATTTCGCTTGCTGCAAATATACACTTCTTGAGGTTAGCATACAATTGATGCTTTCGCATGATTGTAAGAACTTGTCGGACGTGGTACCTGTGAACCTCAACGTCCGACTTTCCATCCATAGCTCGACTATGGATGAATACGTCATCGAAATAACTCGGCGCGAATTCTCGTACTGGTCTCAACAGATGTGATACACATCTGTTGAACGTGGCAGGGGCATTACTAAGCCCTTGTGGCATTACTAGCCATTCCCAGAGCATGCCGCTAGGCGTGCTAACTGCGGTATAGGGTATATCCCGTTCCCGCATAAGGATTTGATAGAAGCCATCCATCAAATCCATGGACGAAAAGATGGTACTCTTTGACATACCATCAATGATTACGTCCTTCCTCGGTATCGGCGTCTGAGCCGGTACCGTTGCAGCGTTCAATTTGTCGAACGCGTGCACTATCCGCCACCCTCCTGTTGCTTTTCGCACACAGAAGGTCGGAGAGCTATGTGGGGAAGTTGATTCCCTCACATGGCCCGCAGCTAAACGATCGGCAAAGAACTTGTCGATCGCAAGTACTTGTTCACGAGGCAGTGGCCACTGCTTCATGACACAGTACTTCGAGCCTGGTTTAAGCTCGACCTCGTGTCGAATACATTTATCCTTCGGTAATTCGCACGGAACAGTTTCAGGGAATACATCCTTGAATTCAACCAAATCTTCATAGAGAGGATTTTCCTTGAGCGATTCCCACGATTGGGAGTCATATCGCTCAATTCGTGTCTTTTCATCTAGGACACTCTCGTCCATAGATGAACTACTGAGAACGAGAGAGTTCTCAGTAAACACTGTTGCTGACCTTATGTCGGTTACACACTCGTCGTCAGCGACGAGTACGCAGATTTGCTTGACTTTGCCACTACGCAGATCAAGCAAGAACCTTTTATGTTCGAGCGTTGGCAACTGAGTGATCTCCGAAGTTAACTTCGGAGGCGCAATCAGATCAAGTGTATAAGCGCCTACACTTGATCCGTTATTGACTATGACATTCAATGTCTCTGTCATTTCCTGGGGACTTATTCCCTCAGGCTTCGAAGGACTTATTCCTTCGTCTTCCCGGGGACTTATTCCCGCGGGTTTCGGGGAACTTATTTCCGCCGTATTTGTAATCTTGGGACTTATTCCCTTTACTTCCTCTAGCTGGGGTTGCGCAACCACAGCGAGATCCTCTACGAAAGACTCTCCAGTCGATCTAGGATTATCGTTTTGCTTAACCTGAGCGATCGATTGTTTCTCTTCTAGATGTTCCCCGCTAGGGATACATCTTTGTCCCAGTCCACCCGACTTATTCGAGTGGTGGACCTTCGGTGCAGCCTGTGTTTCCTCACAGCCGCCGGAACTTTGCTCCGAAGTGTAACCGTTTGGTACACTAAGGTTTTGTGCAGTCGTACTAACGACCGTACCACAAGTGAGGCCATCGCACTCACTCGTAGTACATCCACACGCTTGTGGACGCTCCAAAACGTTCATCAGATGGCCATCTGATGAACAAGCGGCAGGCATCGTTACTGTCCGATGTTGCCAGTTTACTCGTGGTTCGTACCTTCTGAGCCACGGTATTCCAAGGATGACATCAAATTTGTCATCCAAATCCAATACGATAAAGTCATCGTCATATTGGGTATCTTCTAGCGTATAGTGGATCTTCACTATACGCTTCATGACGGTTACGGATGCGCCTGTCGCAAGACGTACCGTCATCCTCGTAGGAGGTGTGTCACATTCACTGAATTTAAAGTGACCATCTTCTAGCGATTGGCGTCGCACAAAATTGTTGGACGCCCCACAATCGACTAGAGCTCGAAGGGACAACTTATTCGTCACTTCGAGTTTCAAGGTAATGAGTGAGACCTCATTACCTAGAGCAGCAACGCACAATGTCTGCGTGTTGGGAGCAACCTTCATCAAGAGGCCTACAAATTCTCTTGACGTTGCTAGACCAGTAGGGTGCTCCGCACCTACTGATCCTGTCCGTTTTTTGACGGTCCATCCCGTTGTTGCGTCTTTGCACCAACTGCGGACCCTCGTCCCTGCCCCTTTCTCATGGGTGGACGGTCACTACGCCCAGTGTCGCGAGACACTGGACGAGGGGCACTACACTCGTAAGCGTAGTGTCCTGTCTTTTGACATCTGTTGTATCTCTGCAACTTCTTGTAGCCTGTAGAGCGAGCCTTCTCGCTCTCTACATAACAGAGTTCCATCGGCTCTGAACCTCCGTTGTCATATCGTCTCGGTTGACGATATGATGTCGAGCTGGCGCGAGCCTGTCTCAGACTGAAGTCTTCCTGCTCCGCAATGGAAATGGCTTGTTCTAGTGAATCTAGTTCAAGCCGGAACAGGTGAGTCTTGACGGGACCATCCGCAAGACCCTGCATGAACACCGAAACCAACGTGTGTTCATCCACCGGATTGGAACTTATACAACTCGTGAGATGTCGTATATGTTGAGCGTAAGCGTGCACATCACGCTTACCCTGCTTGAGCTTCAAGAGTTCGGTTCGAGCTCTGAACTCAGCTCTAGGCGGTTCAAACGTTTGTCTGAGCCGCGACTTGAAGACTTCCAACGACCCAAACGCATATGGGTCGTGCAGCTTGAGCCCCAGTGCCCAAGTCTTGGCACGTCCTGCCAGATTTGACTGGGCAAATGCAACTTGCATATCCCCGTCGTCGATGCGACGCGCCCTTATGGCGTCATCCAATTCGACGAACCATCTCAAGAGGGAGTCTTCTTCGACCCCCCTATACTTTGAGATGTCAATCTTCAAAGTCTCGGGTCGACGCGAGTGCATCGACCCGCCAGCAGCAGCTTGCTGCTGTCTCAACAGTTCAAACTGTTGAGCACCTTGTTCTCTCAACAACTCTGCTTGTTGAGAACCTTGTTGGTGAAGCAAGGCTACTTTCTCGCGTTCTGCGTCAAGTTCATTTTGAATGAACTTGGCGATAGTAGCATGTTGGGCATCTCTATTGAGAGCCTCTAGCATGACGCTAACAGCATGGATGCCCATGGTCGAACCCATTCGTTCAACCGCATCCCATTCGACATCGCTCAAATGGGAGTAGCCGTCACGCGTAGCGTGAAAGCTTTGGTCATCTTCATCATCCAACATATTCATGTTGGATGTGAACGCGGTCCTTGGACGGACTACGAAGTGCTACCAGGTGTAACGGGGCACCCTGAAGCTTGTACTGGTGACAGTACAAGCTACTTATTCTGATGACAGAACGAGGCGGTGCCTCGTAACTTCACGTACACTCGTACGTGCAGAGGAAGACGGTAAGAAGAAGCGAGTACTTGGTTAGAGTAAAAAGTAGAACTGTATTTATAATAGTTAATGTCTGCAATAAATCACTATTTATCTTCATCTAACTATGTCTAAATACAAATGTGTAAATCAGTTATCTGCTCACCACTCATTGCGTGCGTCTGTCGTGGCGCGTCTTCGTTGGTTGATATAATGGCCTATATCAACCAATTAGGAACTACTCGTAAGTGCTACAGAATATTTGTCCTTATGACAATATTCTGAGAATATAACTCTTATAGTTATATTCTATTAACAATTTCTTATAAATTGTTATGTAACGATTCACCCCGTTACATGGCAGCTACTGTTAAACGCGTTCGTGTACAGCTGCACCAAAGGATCGACTGGACATTCTTATCATGTATAAACGTATGGGTAGATGCTACCATTTAGCAAACTTTGGCCGTGTGTTATTATTTCCTGCCCCCTTTTACCGTCCGGCAGAATTAAGATGATCTTCATCTTGCCTATCACCATGACGATTACCAAGATCGGGTGCTCGCCCTATGATACAAATAATTCAGTCCATAGCACTGAATCAAGTTCTGTCGATTCACGTACCTCGCGCTCTATGGCTAACAGCTGTACCCTTCGGGCTCGCAATGTGTATATTTACAATGAAGAGGAATCAGATGCTATGTCGCACTTAGTGCGACGTGTAAGGTACGCCTAGCGTTTAGTTGCAGACTCGTGCATACGATGCGACACGCTAAATCGCACTTAGTACAAGTACACGGTACATGAAGCGTTTATCACTGGGAACAACATGTGACAGACTACATCGGACTTGATGGGACGTGTAAGGTATACCTGGTGAAATTCCATATACAGGAGACGAACGACTAGGTCGCACTTTATACGACGTGTAGGGTGCTCCTAGTGTTGTTACAGACGTACACGCAGACAGCTACGGTTTATAGAGCTCGGCATTCACTTTGCGCACAGTTAATAACAGCTTCGCTCTACGGGCTCGTTTCTTTGTTTAAGAATATTTAAGTTGTGGGAGCAAGCTCTGGAGCTCGCCCTTTGATATAAGAGCGTCTTCAGCAGTGAGTACAACTTAACTTTCTATCCAATCTCAAATTTTATTTAGTTATATGAATAGAAGCGCCCCACAGCAGCGGAATAAATCGGGGATTGCTCGATATAAAGTTATTTTGTCGTCGTCCCGCCTACGCTTTGTAATTCCGTAACACCCGAGATAGTTTGTTTTGTTGAAGGTAATCGAGTACAAGATCAAGGCGCAAATCAACTGGCTACAGATTGTCTCAAGGAACTTTCCAGTCACGGTTCAATGGCTGGATCAATCTGCATCAGATGTATAGTCATGGTGCAAGTACACAAGGACCGGTTAACGTGTATACGATTCAATTGTATGATGAGTGGATACGAAGAGCAAAGGAGCTTCAACAGCTAGGGAGAGCATTAACAAACCACTCAATACAATTGCTCACTGGTGTATTTGACCACTTCTGCAACAGTATATCGCAAGTTTAACTCTAAAGTATTATCAGGTTATGAGCCCAACAACGTTCGACAAGGTCGACAAGTTCGACGGTTCCAACTACCAGTTATGGAGTTTTAAGATGATGATGTACTTACGGTCTCGGGGACTGTGGGGTTAAGTGGATGGGAGCTCGCCGCCAGACCGTGCGCTGATGGAGCAAGCGCATGCGGCCATCGTGCTGAGTCTTACTGACTCGCAGGTACTACACGTGATCACGACGGCGACGGCTATGGACGCATGGAACACGCTGCAGCGCCTTAACGAGTCTAAGGATATGGCTAGTCGCATGTGGTTGAAAGAGAAGTTTTCGACGTTTCGCTACACAGCGAGCTCGATGGAGAAGCATTTCGGGAAGCTGGAGGCTCTTGTTTTGCAGATGGGCGGCGCGGGGTGCCGTACGGATGAAGAAGACGTGTATGCGACGCTGCTACGCAGCCTCCCAGCGTCGTTCGAAGGTTTGGTGCAGGCGTTCCGTATGAGCGTCGGCAAATTCACGTACGGAGACGTGATGAGTCGAGTGTTGGCGGAGGACATCAGACAGAAGGAGCAAGGCCGCATAGAAGAGGAGACGGCAATGTTAGCTGGAAGAGAAAGACAAGAATGGAAGAAGAAGCCATTCGACAAGCGTGGAATCCAGTGCTATCAGTTCGGAAAACGCGGTCACTTTAAGCGAGAGTGCCCAAACGGAGATACTGAGACACACGAATCAAACGTGGCGTTCCATGTCACGACTACCCATGGGGGCGTATGCCGTGAGTGGGTGGTCGACAGTGGAGCGTCAAACCACATGTGTGCATCGAGGGAGGCATTTGTGGATTATCGTGTTGATCACAGCAACCGCACAGTGTCAGTAGCCAAGTCTGGCGTGACGTTACGAGTGCTTGGTGTCGGAACGGTCGTGCTTGACTTAAACGTTTATTCTACAATCCAGTCGGTTGGACAACCGACTGGATTGGTGTGCGCTCGACTCGAAAACACACTGCACGTGGAGAATTTAAGTCGCAATTTGTTTTCAATACCGGCGATCTTGGCTAAGGCGATGCATGTCAGCATGGACATCAACGGGTGTAAGATCTACCGGAACGGCAAGGTCGTTGGAAGCGGCACGAAGAGAGGTAATCTTATTTACCTAAACGTTGCCAATGACGCTGAGTATCATGTAGCCTCTGAAGTAGGCGACCTATGGCACCGTCGTTTCGGACATGCGTCGCACGACTCGGTTGCAAAGGTCCTTGCAAAAAACAAGATCTTTACTGGAAGTATTAGCAATAAGTTATGCAATGCGTGCGAACTTTCAAAGCAAGCACGAAAACCGTACCCAACGCACGATACTGATGTGAATGTACGATCGGATATCGTATGCTCAGATGTACTTGGACCAATCAGCCCTGCGTCTCGATCCGGATGTGCGTACGCAGTGACGTTCATTATGATGAAGACACGCTTTGTAACGGGGCACCCTGAAGCTTGTACTGGTGACAGTACAAGCTACTTATTCTGATAACAGAATAAGGCGGTGCCTCGTAACTTCACGTACACTCGTACGTGCAGAGGAAGACGGTAAGAAGAAGCGAGTACTTGGTTAGAGTAAAAAGTAGAACTGTATTTATAATAGTTAATGTCTGCAATAAATCACTATTTATCTTCATCTAACTATGTCTAAATACAAATGTGTAAATCAGTTATCTGCTCACCACTCATTGCGTGCGTCTGTCGTGGCGCGTCTTCGTTGGTTGATATAATGGCCTATATCAACCAATTAGGAACTACTTGTAAGTGCTACAGAATATTTGTCCTTATGACAATATTCTGAGAATATAACTCTTATAGTTATATTCTATTAACAATTTCTTATAAATTGTTATGTAACGATTCACCCCGTTACATCACCCCCCTTAACCATCAGTCACTTTAGTGACTGATTGACTAAATGGATACTCGTCCCAAATCATTTGGGACAGGGTTTGCACTTGTTGGTCCGCGTCCACTTTCCAACATTTCATCGCATGGTAAACAAGCCCATGCGATGCGCGAGCAAGGCCGCCGAGAGCGCGTCTGCACGTCTCTGTGCGGACGCCGAAGCAGAAACAACAGCAACTGATGTCCCATCGGTTGCTGAAGAGATTCAGCCTGTGTCACTTGGTGACGCAGGCGCTGGTCATGAAGACACTCGTGTCTTCACAGAGTACGAGCTCGGTGTCTCGTACTCTCCTGATACGGATGACGGATCCGTATCGACGGCGATTGAATCTAAGCCGCCTGCCAAGCGTGGCATGGACGATGCTTTGCGTCGCAGCATCTTTGGTTCATCTGATGAGTCAGATGAACCATCGCCGAAGCGAAGGCGCTCGAGGTCGCGAGACTCGGGCGCTAATAGTGGTGTCGGTTCTCCAATGGACACCACTTCACAGCGAGGTGCCAGTACTTCTGTCGGCACGTCGCAGGAAGAGCGGGACCGCAATGTGTTGCGTCTCGCTCCAGAAAAGAAGGCATGGATGCCTCCAAAATCAGTCATGGATCACTTGTCGGCGACGACGAGTGATCGTTATCGAACACGATTGTTCGATTCGTCAAGGATCCATCACCTTGACCCCAGCGCGAAAGACTATCGCGCTGAACATGAGTTCTTCATCGATGCTTTCTTCAGACATCGATGGTACAGTGGGAATCACAAACTTGATGGTCCCTCACTACTTCAGGCGTGGAACGCCTACATCCATAATCTCGAGGATGTAGGTCGTGACGCTTGGAACGACAAACTTATCAAAGCTCGTGATAAGTTTGAAAAGCGAACCCCGACAGGTGCACGCTACAAGCTGCATCGTCTGTCAAGGGAGAAAGGATTACCCTGCCTCTCTTGGGGAGACTCGTGCCCATGTTGTGTGAACAACTCTGCACGAGCACCTAAGGAGGCTTACCTCCTTACCAGCCCGTGGTGGCGCGTACGTGTCTCTACTGAGATGTACGAAGGGATTGACAACCTGAAATCCCTTTACGACCGTGCCGGGAAGACTTTCTCCGGCGGTCCTTCTGCGGCACAGGATGTGTCGCGTCGTACTGCTCGACCAGACCCAGTACGTCAACCATCAATTGGGAGCGGGGCTCCCAAGAATCCCAGGACGGGGGATAGCTGCGCCACCGGACGAGGTAACTCGTCCGACGTCCGTTCTCGTCGCGGTGGTTCAACAGCTGCTCAACTAGATAGCGCTGGCCACCGCGAGAGTCCTCTAATGGAGGTGGAGGAGGAGGAAAGACGCTCTCCACACGATCATGTGGATCGGTGTGTTCCCGAGAGCTTTTTGATCGCGTAACGCAAGGGTTACGCGACGATCTCGAGCATGAGCGGAATAGGCGTCTCCAGATGGTGGACACTGCCTCGAAGCATCGAGCTGAGTTTGCTTTTGCTCAGCTTGAGAACGAGAGATCTCTGACATCTCTTCGTGACGAGCTAAGGGTAGCTCGTGGGATTGTTGATCGGTCTCGGGCTGAGATAGTTGCTCTTCAGACCCTTGTTGATGCCCACCATCGGGAGCACAAGGCTCTCTGCGAGATGCTTGAGCGCAAGGGCGTTCTTCATCGGAAGAAGCAGCGTACTGATGGTACGGCTTAAGCCGACCAACGTAAAACGTGGGATGCGTTCGCATCTTACGTGGTAACTCGATCGTGTATGCATTGCCTAGGCGGTGCAATACACGAAATGGGCCAATGTACTTGGGTAGTAGTTTACTGCTACCCAAGTTAGTCACTACATGCTTTGGTAGATTAACCGTAGACAGTAGGACTAAGTCACCTTTATTAAATAAAAGAGTGTTTGCCCTTCCATTCTTGTCAGCGTTTTGCTTTTTGCTTATCCACCGCTTCGGCGATGGAGTCTTGCACAAAACGGACTACCGTTTCACGAGCCAGTATGAACTCATCTGATGACTCGTTAGCTTCAGTGTGCTGTGAGCGCACTGCAGCAACAACAACCTTTTCTTCAGTGAGGGCTTCCGCACTCTCACTGGGATCATTGTCTTCAGTGAGGGCTTCCGCACTCTCACTGGCATCATCTTCTTCGATATCGATGTTATCGATATCGGCATCAAACGCAATGACTTCTTCGTCAGAGCGTGATGAGCGTGAACCAAATCGGTTTTTGCTCGCGCGAGTCCCTCCCCCCCTTAAACTAGAGTTACACTCTAGTAAGGTGGGTATACGCGGATGGCGCAAGCCATTCACGTAAAACGGTGTATGTGTCGTGGACGCATGCACCGAGTTGTTGATGGCAAACTCTACCATTGGCAAAAACTCACTCCAACTCTTAAAGGAGTGTACGTATCCTCGAAGTATCTCTTCAAGGACACGATTGGCACGTTCCGTCTGACCATCCGACTCTGGATGATCAGATGTTGACATCTTCAAGCGCGTTCCGAGTGATTTGAACACGGAACGCCAGAAATCAGCAGTGAATCGTGGATATCTGTCTGTTACGAGTTCACGGGGCAACCCATGAAGTCGGAAGATGGTGTCGATAAAGACACAAGCACAGCCACTTGCCGTGATTGTCTCTGGTACAGCCACAAGGTGTACCATTTTGCTGAATCTGTCAACAAATACGAGAATACCCGTATTCCCGCGTGCGTCTTTGGGTAACCCGAAGACGAAATCCATTGAGATGGATTCCCAGCACTCAGCTGGAACCGGTAGAGGCTGTAAAGGTGCACGCAGTGAAGGACTTGACTTCACTCGTTGACAGACTTCGCATGCGCGAACATACTTACGCACAAACTGATACTGGCGGGGCCAGTAAAAGTCTCGACTTACCGTGGGATATGTTTTCTCTCGGCCACGATGTCCTCCTATAGGAGCATCGTGATACTCGAACATGATCCGCAAACGCAGATCAGTATCATCTGGAATGACAACACGTGGTGTGTCACCAGAAACGGCTGTATAGTACAGTAAACCGTTACGAGTAGTGTATCGATCTGATGCAGATCGATACGCAGACGACAATCGTTTCAACGATTCTCGAGATGGTTGGGAGAGATGTGTCAACAACTTCACTATCTCACCATCTTGGGCTTATGCCCGCCTCACATCATCGTACAACGTTGTAGATGGGACTGAGGACGTCATAACCGCAACAGTGACTGTCTCACTGTTGGGTTTCGCGACTGTTTCAAAGTCGGGACGACGTGAGAGTGCATCAGCGACGACATTAAGTCGTCCTGGTTTGTACTCGACCGTAAGGTTGTATTCCGCAAAGAATGACAACCACCGCGCCATTCGTTGTGAAAGGTGCGGGCTGTTCACTGCCGTGCGTAATGACGCATGGTCAGTGTAAACAATGAAGGGTCTATCTCCTAATAGATAGACTCTGAACTTCGCGAGTGCATACTTCATGGCAAGGAGTTCCTTGTCATGCACTGGATAGTTCCGCTCAGCTGGTTGCAGCTGACGCGACTGATAGCAGACGACACGTTCAACGCCTTCAAAGTCGTACTGCATTAATGCACAGCCGATTGCGAAATCGCTGGCATCACAGACCACATGAAATGGCCTGTCCTGATCGGCTATTGCTAGGACTGGGGATTGTATCAAGCTCTGCTTGATACCCTCAAAGGAGCGTTGACATTCAGCGTTCCATAACCACCTCTCGTTCTTTTTCAACAAACGAGAGAGGTGTACAGTCATCTCGGCGTAATTGCGTGAATACTTATGCAAATACGCCGCTAGCCCAAGGAATTTTCGAAGACCTTTGACATCGACCGGCACAGGCCAGTCGGTGATCGCCTTGATCTTTTCGGGATCAGGACGTACACCGTTCTTACCAACGATGCACCCAAGAAGTGGTATTTCGCTTGCTGCAAATATACACTTCTTGAGGTTAGCATACAATTGATGCTTTCGCATGATTGTAAGAACTTGTCGGACGTGGTACTTGTGAACCTCAACGTCCGACTTTCCATCCATAGCTCGACTATGGATGAATACGTCATCGAAATAACTCGGCGCGAACTCTCGTACTGGTCTCAACAGATGTGATACACATCTGTTGAACGTGGCAGGGGCATTACTGAGCCCTTGTGGCATTACTAGCCATTCCCAGAGCATGCCGCTAGGCGTGCTAACTGCGGTATAGGGTATATCCTGTTCCCGCATTAGGATTTGATAGAAGCCATCCATCAAATCCATGGACGAAAAGATGGTACTCTTTGACATACCATCAATGATTACGTCCTTCCTCGGTATCGGCGTCTGAGCCGGTACCGTTGCAGCGTTCAATTTGTTAAACGCGTGCACTATCCGCCACCCTCCTGTTGCTTTTCGCACACAGAAGGTCGGAGAGCTATGTGGGGAAGTTGATTCCCTCACATGGCCCGCTGCTAAACGATCGGCAAAGAACTTGTCGATCGCAAGTACTTGTTCACGAGGCAGTGGCCACTGCTTCATGACACAGTACTTCGAGCCTGGTTTAAGCTCGACTTCGTGTCGAATACCTTTATCCTTCGGTAATTCGCACGGAACAGTTTCAGGGAATACATCCTTGAATTCAACCAAATCTTCATAGAGAGGATTTTCCTTGAGCGATTCCCACGATTGGGAGTCATATCGCTCAATTCGTGTCTTTTCATCTAGGACACTCTCGTCCATAGATGAACTACTGAGAACGAGAGAGTTCTCAGTAAACACTGTTGCTGACCTTATGTCGGTTACATACTCGTCTTCAGCGACGAGTATGCAGATCTGCTTGACTTTTCTACTACGCAGATCTTGCAAGATCCGCTTAGATTCTAGCTTTGGCAACCGAGTGATCTCCAAAGTTAACTTCGGAGGTGCAATCAGATCAAGTGTATAAGCGCCTACACATGATCCGTTATTGACTATGACATTCAATGTCTCTGTCATTTCCTGGGGACTTATTCCCTCAGGCTTCGAAGGACTTATTCCTTCGTCTTCCCGGGGACTTATTCCCGCGGGTTTCGGGGAACTTATTTCCGCCGTATTTGTAATCTTGGGACTTATTCCCTTTACTTCCTCTAGCTGGGGTTGCGCAACCACAGCGAGATCCTCTACGAAAGACTCTCCAGTCGATCTAGGATTATCGTTTTGCTTAACCTGAGCGATCGATTGTTTCTCTTCTAGATGTTCCCCTCTAGGAATACATCTTTGTCCCAGTCCACCCGACTTATTCGAGTGGTGGACCTTCGGCGCAGCCTGTGTTTCCTCACAGCCGCCGGAACTTTGCTCCGAAGTGTAACCGTTTGGTACACTAAGGTTTTGTGCAGTCGTACTAACGACCGTACCACAAGTGAGGCCATCGCACTCACTCGTAGTACATCCACACGCTTGTGGACGCTCCAAAACGTTCATCAGATGGCCATCTGATGAACAAGCGGCAGGCATCGTTACTGTCCGATGTTGCCAGTTTACCCGTGGTTCGTACCTTCTGAGCCACGGTATTCCAAGGATGACATCAAATTTGTCATCCAAATCCAATACGATAAAGTCATCGTCGTATTGGGTATCTTCTAGCGTATAGTGAATCTTCACTATACGCTTCATGACGGTTACGGATGCGCCTGTCGCAAGACGTACCGTCATCCTCGTAGGAGGTGTGTCACATTCACTGAATTTAAAGTGACCATCTTCTAGCGATTGGCGTCGCACAAAATTGTTGGACGCCCCACAATCGACTAGAGCTCGAAGGGACAACTTATTCGTCACTTCGAGTTTCAAGGTAATGAGTGAGATCTCATTACCTAGAGCAGCAACGCACAATGTCTGTGTGTTGGGAGCAACCTTCATCAAGAGGCCTACAAATTCTCTTGACGTTGCTGGATCAGTAGGGTGCTCCGCACCTACTGATCCTGTCCGTTTTTTGACGGTCCATCCCGTTGTTGCGTCTTTGCACCAACTGCGGACCCTCGTCCCTGCCCCTTTCTCATGGGTGGACGGTCACTACGCCCAGTGTCGCGAGACACTGGACGAGGGGCACTACACTCGTAAGCGTAGTGTCCTGTCTTTTGACATCTGTTGCATCTCTGCAACTTCTTGTAGCCTGTAGAGCGAGCCTTCTCGCTCTCTACATAACAGAGTTCCATCGGCTCTGGACCTCCGTTGTCATATCGTCTCGGTTGACGATATGATGTCGAGCTGGCGCGAGCCTGTCTCAGACTGAAGTCTTCCTGCTCCGCAATTGAAATGGCTTGTTCTAGTGAATCTAGTTCAAGCCGGAACAGGTGAGTCTTGACGGGACCATCCGCAAGACCCTGCATGAACACCGAAACCAACGTGTGTTCATCCACCGGATTGGAACTTATACAACTCGTGAGATGTCGTATATGTTGAGCGTAAGCGTGCACATCACGCTTACCCTGCTTGAGCTTCAAGAGTTCGGTTCGAGCTCTGAACTCAGCTCTAGGCGGTTCAAACGTTTGTCTGAGCCGCGACTTGAAGACTTCCAACGACCCAAACGCATGTGGGTCGTGCAGCTTGAGCCCCAGTGCCCAAGTCTTGGCACGTCCTGCCAGATTTGACTGGGCAAATGCAACTTGCATATCCCCGTCGTCGATGCGACGCGCCCTTATGGCGTCATCCAATTCGACGAACCATCTCAAGAGGGAGTCTTCTTCGACCCCCCTATACTTTGAGATGTCAATCTTCAAAGTCTCGGGTCGACGCGAGTGCATCGACCCGCCAGCAGCAGCTTGCTGCTGTCTCAACAGTTCAAACTGTTGAGCACCTTGTTCTCTCAACAACTCTGCTTGTTGAGAACCTTGTTGGTGAAGCAAGGCTACTTTCTCGCGTTCTGCGTCAAGTTCATTTTGAATGAACTTGGCGATAGTAGCATGTTGGGCATCTCTATTGAGAGCCTCTAGCATGACGCTAACAGCATGGATGCCCATGGTCGAACCCATTCGTTCAACCGCATCCCATTCGACATCGCTCAAATGGGAGTAGCCGTCACGCGTAGCGTGAAAGCTTTGGTCATCTTCATCATCCAACATATTCATGTTGGATGTGAACGCGGTCCTTGGACGGACTACGAAGTGCTACCAGGTGTAACGGGGCACCCTGAAGCTTGTACTGGTGACAGTACAAGCTACTTATTCTGATAACAGAATAAGGCGGTGCCTCGTAACTTCACGTACACTCGTACGTGCAGAGGAAGACGGTAAGAAGAAGCGAGTACTTGGTTAGAGTAAAAAGTAGAACTGTATTTATAATAGTTAATGTCTGCAATAAATCACTATTTATCTTCATCTAACTATGTCTAAATACAAATGTGTAAATCAGTTATCTGCTCACCACTCATTGCGTGCGTCTGTCGTGGCGCGTCTTCGTTGGTTGATATAATGGCCTATATCAACCAATTAGGAACTACTCGTAAGTGCTACAGAATATTTGTCCTTATGACAATATTCTGAGAATATAACTCTTATAGTTATATTCTATTAACAATTTCTTATAAATTGTTATGTAACGATTCACCCCGTTACACGCTTGGTGAAGGTGTATCCGGTAGTGCGAAAGTCAGACGTGCTATCTAAGTTCATCGAATTCCGACAGTACATGAAGACACAAGCGGGAGTGAGTGTGCGCACTATTCGCAGTGATAATGGAGGGGAGTACACCTCAACCGACATGAAGACGTACTGCGCGCTGAAGAATGTCAAACAGGAATTTACGATCCCGCACAACCCTCAGCAAAATGGTATGGCCGAGCGTGCTAATCGGACGCTGGTCGAGATGGCTCGATGCATGCTAAAAGACAGTGATATGGAGAAGACATTCTTGGCGGAGGCTCTGGTGACTGCCGCGTACATTCGCAACACAATCAGCACGGCGACGCGTACTCACACTACGCCATATGAAGAAACGTTTAATCGTCTTTTCGATTACGGCAGTCTTCGCGTGTTTGGCACCGAGTGCTTTGCTCACGTACCAAAGACGAAGAGATCAAAGCTTGACGACAGCGGTGTTCGATGCCGTATGCTTGGGTACCTCGAAAATCAGAAGGGGTATCGCCTACTGAACGCATCAACAGGCCAGATAATGCACTCGCGAAGCGTCACATTCGATGAATCTACGCGTGAAAAAGTGAAGCCAGAGACTGACGAAGATGTCGAGTCAGATGGACACGAGACCGAACTGACAGATACTAAGTTTCACGGTTCAGTAGATGCGAATTTGAACGACAACGGTGCGCGCGGGATGGCAAGCGAACATCAGCTCGTGCATTGCAATTACCCTCAAACGCATCAGCTTCAAGTAGTTGATACACGGGGATCAGAATCCTTACCCGGCTCCACCAGTATTCAGCCACACGGTAATGCTGAAGTTCAAGTTCAAGGTCATCATCAACTAAATGGGAGTACCGACATAGTGCTAACGGATCTGGAAGAGAGCATGTCACCTCGAATGACTGGTCGACAGATGATTACCAGTAAGCCGTCTGGTACTCCTGATCGAGACGGCTTAAATCAGCGACGGGTGCGACCTGCGAGGAAGAAGCGTGGTATACTACGCTATGAAGACGAGTTCAATGGAATGCGTCGTATGGATTCCAACGAGGCAGACTTGGAAGACGAGTTTGATGGTCTGCATTGCTACTCAACTGCCTTGAACGATGAGAAACAGACAACGCACGATGGTATCATGCAGTCTGAATTGAAGGTTCAGTGGAAAGCGGCAATGGATGCTGAGATAAAATCACTGTCGCAGCATAAGAAATGGGAGTTGGTCGACCTTCCACCAGGAAAGAAGATGATCGGCAGCAGATGGTTGTTTAAGGTGAAACTGAATGCAGATGGCAGCATAAACAAATTCAAGGCGCGTCTGGTCGCTCAAGGGTTTACACAGCAGTTTGGAGTCGATTTTAATGAAACATTTGCGCCTGTCGCAAAGCAAACAACTGTGCGCACCGTCTTGTCGATTGCAGCTGGTGAAAATCTGGATGCAGAACAGGTTGATGTCGACACAGCTTTTTTGTGTGCACCGATCGAAGATGAGCTGTATATCAAGCAATCAGACGGCTATGAAGATAAGACGCACCCATACAAGGTCTGCCGATTGCTCAAGAGCCTATACGGGACAAAACAAGCAGCACGCCAGTGGAATAAAACTCTGGACGATTTTTTTGGTGCCCATGATTTTGTGCGAGCCGATGCAGACCCGTGCTTGTATACGCGCATCAGCAGTAGAGAGTATTCAGCGGTCGTCGTCTACGTCGACGACATTATTATCGTAAGTAAAACACAAGATGGCGTGCGCAAGATCATCAAAGATCTCAAGACCGCGTTCAGCATCAAGGAGCTCGGAGAGCCACGATTTATCCTTGGTATCGAAGTAACTCGTGACCGGACCAACCGCACCCTTACATTGTCGCAACGCGGGTAAATTCAGCAGCTCGGTGAAAGATTCCGAATGAAAAATGCAAAGCCCGTTTATCTACCGGCCGACGCGAATTCGCGCTTAACACGTGCCGCTGAAGGCGCTCAATGCATCACGAATGTACCGTACCGAGAGCTGGTCGGATGCCTTATGTACATCGTTACGTGTACAAGACCCGATATCGCGGATGCAGTCGGCAGTGTGGCCAAGTACTGCGAGAACCACACGAGCGAACACTGGTCAGCGGCAAAGCGTATACTCAAGTACCTGTTAACGACTCAAGATATCGCGTTGGTGTATGATGGTCATTTGGCAACCGAGCTAATAGGCTTTGCAGATGCGAGCTGGGCTTCGGATGAAGACACTAGGCGTTCCACAACTGGTTTTGTGTTTATCCTGAATGGTGCAGCTATCGCGTGGCGTTCGCAGCGACAGCCGACAGTCGCAGGTTCTAGTACAGAAGCAGAGTACATGAGCCCGTACTCTGCCACTCAAGAGATGATATGGCTGAGGCGGTTGCTCAAGGATCTGTGTATGTAGAACGACGGACCGACGACAGTATATCAGGACAACCAAGGAGCTATTGCGCTAGCACGGAATCCAGTGTACAACTCGCGAAAAAAACACATCGACACTAAGTAGCATTTTTTTTTCGAGAGAACGTGTCGAGTCGAGCGAGCTACGTGTCGAGTACATATCAACGGCAGATATAGTGGCCGATGCGTTGACCAATAGTGTACCCCGCCCAAAGCTTGAGAAGTTCAAGATACAGGTTGGGTTGAAGAAACTTGATCGCGTATCGTTTAAGGGAGAGTGTTGAAGGTAATCGAGTACGAGATCAAGGCGCAAATCAACTGGCTACAGATTGTCTCAAGGAACTTTCCAGTCACGGTTCAACTGGCTGGATCGATCTGCATCAGATGTATAGTCATGGTGCAAGTACACAAGGACCGGTTAACGTGTATACGATTCAATTGTATGATGAGTGGATACGAAGAGCAAAGGAGCTTCAACAGCTAGGGAGAGCACTAACAAACCACTCAATACAATTGCTCACTGGTGTATTTGACCACTTCTGCAACAGTATATCGCAAGTTTAACTCTAAAGTATTATCATGTTTAGCTGCATGTCATTGGATCCCGCTCTTGAGATCAATCAGGTCATTGGCGAAGATTAGTTGCATACCATCGGCTAACAGGGGACCGAAAAATAAACAAACAAAGGCGGCTACAATTCTATCAGTCACGTTCGGCCGAAATAAACGCATATCATGTAGTTATACTGATTGATGTGAAGTTTTTTGCGTCTACGTTTGAGAGGAAGTTATACTGGTCTCTGATTGGTGCACAAAAAGTTAAGTAAAACTCACTGCTGGAGATGCTCAAGGTAATCCAGTTCAAAGAACTGAATCAAGTTTTAAAATACTATACAACAGCAGTCACCGAATAATTAGCATGATGCTGCCAAGGTATGTATTAACTAAGTTCAATCTACTCAAGCAACGTGATAAGGCTTTGCTCATGATCAGGGATGTGAGTGATTGACCGATCAAGTGACATCGGTCGGTGACTCACATCCCTGGTCATTGACCAGTCAATTTACCCGGTCACTTATCCGAAGTGACCGAAAGTGACCTCTATAGCAATAGTGTCATACAAGTAAAGGTGCTCAATGTGACTCACACACAAATTTTGAGATCGAATAAATGCTGCTTTCTACCCTACTGTTTTTGTGTGACATTGCACACGTGCTACTTATGCTTTAGTATAAAGCAAATGGACATGTAGCTCTTATCAATATTCTCATCCGCCACCTCAGCCGAACGATGTTGAAGCAATTTGAGCTTTTTTTACATAAATCAAACCGTTTACTTGGTGCAAGAGTAATAAAACTGAGGTGCTGACATGGATACGCAAAGTATCAGTGCATGCAGAGCTTCAGCAAGGTCGAAATTCGGCTACCGACGACCGCGAAATAAGAAGAGCAGAGTAGTTTTATCCGAAGAGACCGGTGGTGACGCTTGTAACCAGACCGAGCATGGAGCACAACAGTTCGAGGAGAATGATGGACACAGAGTTGTTTCAAGAAAAAGTGCAAGATGTCATGTCGGGCGGGACGCGGGAAGAATGATGGACATAGGAATTGTTTTGTGAAGTAATGTCAGATGTTGTGTCGGGCGGTACATTGGAAGAAGACTACATGGCTGAATTTGTTGACTGCGACTCCTGCAACTATCGTGGTCGATGAAGTTGCCGAGTTCAGAGATTTGGCAGAAGGTGCATCTATTGAAGAGGAAAGTAAATCTTTCGATGGTGTAGTCACTGATTGTGATAATGATAGCAGGAGCTGGGTTGAGGTGTGTCTAAGGAGGGAGGTACAAACATCAACACGATTGAACCATCAATGTCTGCTACATTCAAATAAAACTAATTCTAGTGGTCGGTCAACGGTCTGCATAATTACCAACATGGTCAATTAGCTATAAGGAAAAGCCATCCACAGTCCTCAACATGTGCTGCTGTTGACAAGGATTGATGGTGGTCATTTCTATGATGTTATGTGTTTTAACCGAAAGCGACTAGAAGAAATTTAAAAAGGAAGTTAAAAGCGCGATAAAGAAGTATGATATTCGATTTTAAAAGCTGGAAAAGGTGTCGTAAAGCCGTAAACATGGCTGTAAAAATAATATGGGTATCTCTAAAGCCACGGACACTAATACTACGACTAAACATGCCGGAAAGAACAAAATCAGGCGACATTGCCAATTTCGTCACATGAAAAGCTTAGCCTTCTTATATCTTGATTTGCTCGTGTGGTAGCGTCTGCTTTAAGTTTCGGTTAGCGCTCTCCAGCTATATTCTGGTACGCAGTAGCTGTACTGACAGCATCAACAATAGCAACAACAACAACAGCAAAGTCACATGGCAGCAAAAAACGTATTGGAGGTGCAGCAAAACACAAAAAAAATAAGTTTGTACTAGTTGCTGCTTTGTCGCTTTCGTCCATACAACATTCAGCGCGTCTGCCCGGCGTCAGCATGCCGCACGTTGTTAGTTTCCTTCCTGTTTTTACAGGTAGCTGTAGAGCAAAAATCGCAAGCTGTGATTGGTTGAACTAAATTTCTACAGACGTATTGTCTTTGACCGTAGTATTTGTGCGTGCGTGGATAAAGTGGTATCAAATTAGAAAACAATGTATTGCGTTAAGGATTGGTCACTAAAGGCCACTTATGGTCACTTGACTAGTCATTGTGACAGTGACCGTCACTAAAGTATTGCGACCGATCAATCAACATTTCTGTGTCCAGTATATGCTTATGTGATCATATTCATCGTTGACCGATTTTATGCCAATCACGTGCGTGCGTCAGATTAGTGGTCTAGATAAAGACTGACTTTGAACATGCCCACATACCTATGAGAATGATACAGGCTTGATAGCACTTAGTACTCGTAATATACACTAAGCCGCGTTATTTACTGACACACAGGTAGACGGATACGTACGATTTGAATGGTTTTACACTTAACCTTGCGCACAGTCACAAAAAGCTTCACCCATCGGGCTTGCAATGAAAGGGTCTTTGCAGTAAGATACGATATTCACGGGCTATCCACTTGTTATTAAAGGAGTCACTCGTTTTCAAGCGAGTTATTACTAATAATGCACTGTACATATTACGAAAAGACAACTTGCTGTTAAAATGCAATCGTCAACATGATGGACCAATACACTTGTTTAAGTATATTTTTGGATATCATCTTCGCGCCGAACGACTATCAGGAATTCATCCTCCGATTTCCCTGCTATGAAGGCTTATATTAAGCTAGATGATACCGAAATAATGTCATTGAATCTCTGCTGCATCGAATTGTGTGTCCTCTAGATGATATGATACGCTCGATTTTTCTACAGGTTATAATTCCAATGTAGAAAATCAAAGAAGCATAACATTATATTTTTAGATTGAAACGCGGGTCAGACGCGTTTCTGCCCTCTGCCGGAGGCCTTGTCAGTGGCTTTAACAATCGCGAAGTGAGTGATCTGCTCTATCCGGCGCTAGATCCTTCAAAAACCTTCTTATAGTTAGTGTAATCACACACCGCAAAATAGCTACCACATCTGAAAGCCAGGGCGTTGAGCAAGAAAGCAGTGTCCGCTATGACAACTCCATTTTCAACATCCAAGGCGTGTCGTCTATATGGGCGGTGTGCGCCACGGTGCGTATGGTAAAGCAGTATTATCCGATGGCCACAAATGGGCCACTTCGCATGAAGATCTTGTAGATTACAGCAAGCCAGGATTTGTCCACGTAGTGAAGTATACGAACCTCAGGAATGACGACGCGTCAGAAGTCCATGTGTTGGTTTAAGGAAAATCAGATGTCTCTAAAAGCTCAAGGAGTACAAAAAGGTTGATGTCGCCAAGCAATTGCGTGTGACAAATAAAGCCACACCTTTTACTATCTAGAAATCAAAGCTAGCTTTTTTTATATCCGCACCGTCCCGAGGATGCACACAGAAAATTTGTAAGGTCTAACGGATGCGCCGAAATTGCTCCGAGGATCCTATTTAATAGATATTTCATCTTGCACATGAAATCTCGCTGAGTGATTAAAGAAAACTCTAAAATAAAAGGCATTATATTATAAAGGTATAAGCCACAATGTTCGCGCACAAGTTGTATGAGGACTTGTGATTTTGGGTATGTTCTAGAAGGTAAAGGGCATGAGATCTGGAACAGCAAGAACCAAATGGGAATGACCAAGCTTATGGAAATCAAATTATAGTGTGGTGCCCGGAGAAGACAAAAGAAGCTTTGTATTCGACAATTGATGAACACGAGCTGTACGAATAACTTGATTACGAGGTTTTGGAATGGGGTCGAAGATTCGAGCAACACATTGCTTTGGCGCAGTCGTCTCATGAGTTTGAATGGGATAAACATGGGAATGTATGTCTGATTGGTTTTAATATCGGGGATGAATAGCGACAATGATTCAGACAATTTGTGATGTGGTGGAGTCAAGTACCCTCTTTGCAGTATGTAATGGAAAAGTATGGAAGTATTCAAGACAAACCAAGCGATGGCAACTGTTTATGCAACGGGAGGATCTGAAGCGAAACTGGCAATGATATTATGTGTATATGAAGGTCATTTTCAATGTTTGGTGTGAAAATGTTGATGATTATTTGGAGATTTGACAACTGTGCAGTACGCTTATGAATGAACACAGGAGTTGGTGCTGGCAAAGCTCGATCACAAGCGATCTGATGCCTGGTTCAGGCATAACACTAGATCCTTCAGGTGTATGAGTTGCACACTTCAAGCAAGAGTACGTTTGTAAGAGCAGTCATTGGATCTTGCTCAGATCGACAACGCAAAGATTGTATCGATGTCCTTGTGCCACACTACATGACATTTGCAGGGAGCATGTCCCAGACACATACCCTATATGCGGACTCGGGTAAAAATTACTTGCCGTGATATAATCTCCAAGTACACCGTGATGATGTCCGGATTTTAGGTGGCAAATCTA